AATACATACCACATCCAAGACATCTTTGCTGGAGGAATGAAGGGGGTGTGAAGCGGGGTCGTTGCTGATGCTGTTCATACTGGATGTAGTGACGATGTTGTTGGGCCTGGTGGAATGGAGGTGGCAGTTGATTAGACAGCTGTGGTCATTGCCGTTGACAGGACTCATGTGGCTGATATATCAGTTGCTGTTGATATGAGGCCTGGGGAGCTGGAGCTGGAGTCTTCGAGATAAGGGGGGCAACCAGACTGTAGAGGTGGTCAACTTTTGCCATCATGTTGACCTCTGATAACTGCACTTACAAGTGATTTCTGGGCCAGCTCTGCCTGGTGACGGACCTCCTGTAGATTGGTGGGCTCTTTGTTATATACCCACTGACAGATGTTGGGTCGAAGGCCAATACACCTACAGCCACAATGACAGATGCCGGCAGCTTCAGGTGGATGGTTGCTGTCTCGACCCGGGTGTTGATGGATTCCTCCTGTTCCTGGGCCAACTGTAACAAACTGACATCAAAGGCTGATGATTTCATAAATCTTTTGGTGAAGGCTTCTTTCACCTTAGTCATATCTAGCCTGTCGCCCTCAGGGAGATTTTTATACCACAGCTTGACTGCACCTTCAAGGTAAAATGGCATGAGTCGACACTTCTCATCATTATAAGAGAAGAAATTGGAAAAGTTAACAAAGTCATCCGACCGCGTTTGAGCATTCTCAGTTCCTGAGAACTGTGGCAGTTTGATGTGCGGCATGGGTGTAGACATCTGGCTCATGGAGGGTATTGATGACGATGTTGATGTAGATGGAGATGTAGACGAGAAGGCTGCTGTTGTGGATGTTTTTGATGTGGTTGTAGCAAGTGACACAACGATCGGCGTTAATGGTGCCTGTGAGACTGGAGCTTGATGAAGCAAACTGGTCAGGAGGGCCCTTGGCTCAGGCCTGCGCAACTACTCTCGGTGGTTTAAAGGGGTGTATCCGGTCATCTAGAAGTCTCCTTAAATATAGGATACATTAAAACAAAGATACGTGAACTTTAATGACAGTTGGATGGACGCAATAATTTTGCTAACACTCCAATAGTTTGAGTATGGGTACTAAATCGTCACATAGTTTTCCTTGAAAGGTTCCCCTCCCATAGTTAAACAAGAGCGGTCGGCCTCCCATAGTAAAGCATAGTATAGTAAATATCACTTGAAGATTAGTTTGGGACATTAACTTGATCGAACTTTGTTTTAAGTAGGAGAAAGTCCTCAATACCGCGATTATTTTCGGCCTCGAACAAGCTTCAAGTGCGAAAATAATTGCGAGATTTCGGACATTCTCCAATACATAAATGGAATAAATGCTACGATTGCTGTGTCTTTTATACTATAGCATACGATAAATGGAATAAATGCTACGATTGTTGTCTCCTTCAGTATAGTATACAGTAAATGGAATAAATGCTACGATTGTTGTACCGTCTATGCTACAGCATACGGTAATTGGAATAAATGCTACGATTCTCGTGTCTTCTATGCTATAGCATGCAGTAAGTGGAATAAATGCTACGATTGTTGTACCGTCTATGCTGCAGCATACGGTAATTTGAATAAATGCTACGATTGTCGTGTCTTCTATGCTTAGCATACAGTTAGTGGAATAAATGCTACGATTAATGTACTTTCTATGCTACAGTATACGGTAACTGGAATAAATGCAAGGATTGCCGTGTCTTCTATAGTTCAGGATGCGGTAAATGGAGCATATGCCTATACGACATAGAGCTTAAAGGAAGGACACGCTAAGATTGGCGTTAATACTATACTACGAGATAGTCTAAGGGAGGACATGCTAAGACGGGCGTGCCGCCTGTGCTACATAGATAATAACTGGATTGTTTCCAGACCGAATTGAAATAGCTGGAATACGAGTGCGGCGTCAACATATGGTCCGAAACCACGAGCATGGCTTTGGTGCTGACAATCATATTAAACACATCTGAGCTTCAACGATGACAGCTTGAATTGTCTTTTCTGCATGTCCCTTAGCACTTGAGTGGGTGAGTGAGTTGGGTTTAACGCAACTTTGAACAGTATTCCAGTTACATCAGCTTGATGTGGGAGGAAAGCCCGAAGGTCAGGTCTGACAACTTTGGTGAAACCCAAAGCAATTCATAACATGTCCTGGGTTTTAGCGGGCAATATTTAAATGTCTACATTGAAGGAATGCAAAGGCATTCATGTTGTAATGCGCGCTGGTAGAACCACTATTTCACATAAGTGTTAGTGTCGCAACAGTTAATGCATAAGTAGCAATGCAACTAATAGTCAACACTACCCATTAAAGGTACAAACTCTGAAATATTCCGTGGCCGGTTATTTATTCAAAATTAAAAAAATAGTAAAGCAATCCAATAAAATAGATATATTATGAACCCGTGCCGAGATGGAAGGCCAGTCCTCTATTGGTCCAGACAGTCGTTCACATCAGAGTGAGTGAGTGAGTGAGTAGGGTTTAACGCCGCTTTTAACAGTATTCCAGTCATATCACGCCGTGTCAGCTTAATGTGGGAGGAAAGCCCGAAGTGATGCAGGTCTCACACGTTTACCACTTCGGTGAAACCCACGAGCACGGGTATGGTGCTGACAAACCTAGAAACATAATCGGGGCGAACCGGGATTCGAACCCACAATCATAGGTTTCTGGCGTGCCTAAGGGACGCAACTCTGCACAGCGAATCGCGGCGCCTTAGACGACTGGGCCACCCTTGCTCCCCGCTCACATCAGATGCAGTGGCCCAATCTCCTTTATGGCTTAACCTAATGTGTTTTACGTACTTGTAATATCAATCAATGGAGACGTTAAGGTAATATCCGTATGTGTATCTGAGATCTGTCTGTGTTTCTGTCGTGCGTCAGTCTGTGTAACTACTAGTCCGTCTCTGTCTGTCTGTTTATCCATCATGTGTATGTTTATCTACACATGTATCTGTCGTTTCTCTTCATGTCATGTCTGTGCGGGAAAGTACCAAAATTGTCCGACCCGTGAAGATCCGAGATAGAATAGTTCTTCAGCAACCCATGCTTGCCGTAAAATGCGACTATGCTTGTCGTAAAAGTCGACTAACGGGATCGGGTGGTCAGGCTCGCTGACTTGGTTGATGCATGTCATCGATCCCAATTGCGTGGATCGATGCTCATGATATCAATCACTGGATTGTCTGGTTCAGACTCGATTATTTACAGACCGCCGTCATACAGCGGGAACATTGCTGAGTGCGGCGTTAAACAACAAACCAACCAACCTTAAAGTATGGTAATTTTAATGTGCCATATTGCAGGCTTTTGTGTATGTATGTATTCCCATCAGTTCTTACTTGATTAATCGCCTCAAATTCAGGAAAAGTTCTCATATATTTATGTTCGTTATAATTCCCGATCACCATCTTGGTCATCGTTTACAGATTACGTTATATATGTGTTTGTCTGTCGTGTGGCTGATGGTTGAATTTGTGGCTGGAAACATACATAAACTAGTTATTACCCTAGGTTTGCCAAGTTCATATGTTAAACGTTCAAAGATGAGCAAAATATCCGCCCTACAATACGCAATTTGTATTCAAATATGGTGAGTGAGTGAGTGAGTGAGTGAGTGAGTGAGTGAGTGAGCGAGCATGGTTTTACGCCGCTTTTAGCAATATTTCAGCAATATCACGGCGGGGAACAACAAAATTGGGCTTCACACATTGTACCAATGTCGGGAATCGAACCCGGGTCTTCGGCGTGACGAGCGAACGCTTTAACAAGGCTACCCGACCGCCCCTTTCAAATGTGGTTAACGTGTTGTCCAGGTCATATGTGTTGGTATAAAACAAGGAATTTGTTTGTAATACGTACTCGAGGAATGCAAGTAACGCCTTGGTTGCAAACAATCTACCTTAATATTGACTCATTTGGCTAACTCTACAACTTTACCTGTGTGTTCATGCGCTGTTTTAGCCTCGGATGTGTCTTCAGATATCAATATCGTTATCGTACTTGACCTGTGCATCACATAGAAAGTTGGGGCTGTATTTACCTGACAACATTAATCTTCCCCAGGACACAAATAGAAAGAAGTAATTTAACCTACTTTACGATAAAGGAAAAATATTGTTAGATTGAATTTAGTGTATTATGGATGCCGACTAATCTCTCTTGATCCGTTAAATAAATTACCCTCGTCTAGAAAAATGCCACGACGACAATAGTTTTTACAGCATACATCTTTGTGTAGTTGGCAACCGCATGAAATCTGTCGTAACATTAGGACTGTACATTAGCCAAATCGGTACAAATTCTTCTTACCGAAACATGTGTAAGGGCTTGCTAAAGGCTGTGTCATCCGCATGTTGTATAAGTGCACGACCAGTCGAGCTAATATGAATACGTTCCAAAACAAGATTCATCCGAAGATGACAAATCCCCCCGGCCCCAACAAATTCGAAAGAACTAATTATCTGACTGCTACTTTAAGTCCAACTTAATGAGAGAATTTCTATTTAATTGGTCTGTCCGTATACAAGAGTAGTTATTGAGCTATCAAAGTTAAACCTGTTGCCATGGAAATAGAAGAAATATCAAATTTTGAAAATAGCAAAAGGCACCACTACAGCCCTTGGTTAATACATGTACCAGGTTTGGATGAAGAGTCTTTCACGGATTTCAAGTTGTGCTCCGAAAACGAAATCCACCTCTCTCCCACCAACACACACATTCCCACCTTTTGAGAGGACAAATTGTTTCTGTGAAAATCGAGAAATTAATTGCCAAAAATCCGTAAATGGCACAAGCCAGGATCTGATACATATCTGCCAAGTTTTGTTGAAAACTATTGAAAGGTTTTCGAGTTATGCTTCCGAAACAAAAGATAATAGGCGGACGGACAGACGCGGCGTCGACTATATCCCCCCCCCCCCCCCCCGAAATACTTGTCGGGCCGATAAGAAGCGATATAACAATTGTTCAGGAAACGAAATAGAAACACACACAACATTTTTACTTTCATCCATGTAAAGGCACAGGCAAAATGGGCAAGCGAAACAATGACAAGTCCGCCAACCATTAGCACGTGTAGAGGAAACACGAATATCATACCCGATGTTCAAATTCCACAACATTCAAGTAATCAATGAACTTCCTGGGCAAGGGGAGGCATTTCACTGCTTCACTTATGTTTCGCGTGTGGTGCAGATGACACCGAATGACTCTGCGGCATATTCTCTGAAGTGTCGTCTGCATGGCAAACTCCGCCTCAAGCCAGCTGGGGCAGTCGGCTTCCCCTCCGAACAGATGGGTCAGCAACACCATATCATAGTCAATGTGCGCGCCACACAGAATAAGGTACTTCAACACCACTGGATCTCGCGTCATGTGGACAGGGCGGGTCTGGAAGTCGTTAACGGCGTTAATGTCAGCCCCTGTGTTTACCAGCAAGTCGATCATCTCAAAGTGAGCCTTGTTCTCTCCCTGGAGAAGCTGTTGGATGTCCGACGTGGGTATCCGCCTCATCCGTCTATAGAAGTCCACCGAGGTGCACAGCATGGTCCGTATGTTGGACCTGGACAATCTGTCACAGGCAACATGCAACGGGGTGTCCCCCTTGTGATCCTTATAATTGACGTCAGCACCCCGATGCAAAAGGAATCGGGTACCTTCAAGATCGTTACCCATCACGCAAGCAAATAACGGCGTCCACCCGTACCTATCCGCACCGGATAATGAGATTCCGTAATTGAGGAGGAGCTCCGCAATGTCCAGATGCTTGCCTTCTATCGCCCTGTGTAGAGCATCTCGTTCCACGTAATCTCCAAGGTTCATTGAGGCACGGTAGTGGATTAGGACGTTAACGATGGCTCTGAAACCAAGGTGACAGGCGTGGTGAAGGGGCGTCATACCACAGCCATCCTGTCCATCAACCTGGGCTCCACTTCTCAGAAGTGCTTCCACCATTCTCAGGGAGTTCTTCACGACCGCCATGTGCAGAGGTCTGCGTTGCCAGGCAATGGTTTCTGACTTCTCCAGGTTGGCGCCAGCATCAACCAGCAGTTCGGCCACATCGTCATAGCCCTGTTCCACGGCGTGGATGAGGGGGGTTTTAGCGTAGAGGATAACACAGTCAATGTTGACACCGGACTTGATGAGATGCCGGATCTTCCCAAGGTCCTGTTTCTCGATGGCCCCAACCATACGGAACTGCATCTCTTTCTGATACCGCTTGGACCCTGAAACAAGGCGCCGTTGTACAAAGCAATCTTAGCGCTAATGTGATCGTAGCTCCCATACCTTAACATAGACTTACGACAGTCGTAGTGCTAAGATTGGTTTGTACAACGGCACCAAGAACTGCACATTTTAACCCTCTGGGTCTAACATTCAAAATAAGTGAGAAAGTGAGTATGGTTTTACGCCGCTTTTAGCAATATTCCAGCAGTATCACGGCGGGGGTCACCACAAATGGGATTCAGACATTGAACCCATGTCGGGAATCGAACCCGGGTCTTCGGCGTGACGAGCGAACGCCTTAACCACTTGGCTACCCGCCCCAATTCAAAATAGTACACACAAGAAAAGGTTTTACGAAGTCACATAACAGCCTTTTCGGCTCACTGAAAGTGTCAAAGTACAGAGAACAATTGGTTTAAAACATTATACATGATCATATAACTGACATATAACCTATTTCTTTCAAGCACGTTGTCGACTTCTGACATGATTATTATCGCCACAATCGTACCTATTACACAGCTTAAATCCATCTTCACCTTCAACTGTCGGTCGGACTCTTCATCATGGGGTTCAGATGGGGTATTCATGGGTATTAAGGGTGGAAGAGGTGGGGGGAGCGGAGGAAGAGACGAGGGGCGTATATCCTCCGAGTCGTGTTCCGCCATTATGTAAAACTGTAAATGTAAATGAAATATTTTCATGTAATTTCTCATCATCTGTTTCAGACCTTTTTCACAGTGTGTTTTTGTTTGTTTAGGAGATAAATGTACAATGCCTTAACGTCGCGTCCAAGATTATTGCACTTACATAGTGTGTGTGTGGCTGCTTGTACTAGTGCTAGCCCACTGAGATACCATGCCGCAGTTTAACATGAATTCCCCACTCAGACACAGTATACTGACTCCGAGCCGACCAGTCCTTGTTTTAGCCCCATAATGCCGAGCGCCAGACTGTATAACAACAAGTACCATCTTTTAACGTCTTTTGGTATGACGCAGCCGGGGATGGAACCCCGGACCTTCCGCTCTCCGGGCGGACACTCTTTCACTAGGCCACGGAGGCGGTCTTTAGACCAAGGATACCTGTAGATTAAACCGCGCTAAAATGAATGTGAAACGAACGCGCAAGTACGTTTATCTTTATTCTACCAAGACAAACCTGAACACGAACTCTTTGGGTTTGGCCAAGTTATTGAGTGACGCGGCACTGGTTTGGTTCATTGTGGTGAATGCGTTATCGATTTCAGTGCGGGAAACATCGATAATAGCCTTTGACAAACCAAGACGAAGATGTACGTGTTTTGAACAAGCAATGACTCTTTATGTTTTTTGTTTGTTTGTTGTTTAACGCCGCACAGCAATATATGCCAGCTATATGACGGGGGTCTTTAAATTATCGAGTCTGGACCAGACAATCCAGTGATTGACATTATGAGCATCGATCCACGCAATTGGAATACGATGACATGCATCAACCAAGTCACCGAGCCTGACCACCCGATCCAGTCAGTCGCCTCTTACAAGCATAGTCGCCTTTTACGGCAAGCATGGGTTGCTGAAGACCTATTCTTCCCCGGATCTTCACTGGTTTGCGAAGATACTGAGTGAAGCGGCACTGGTTTAGTTCATTATGTTGAATGCGTTATCGATATCAATGCAGGAAACACCGATAATAGCTTATGAACAAACCACATGTACGTGTTTGGAACAAGCAATGGCGCTTTATGTGCTTGAACGTTATCTTTTTACATGCCTCACTTGGCCACCCGTGAAGATCCGGGGTAAAATAGGTCTAGAATTAAATTATTTTTTTTTTAATAGTATCATTCAAAAAGGAACGTTAGCCTAATTCTCAACTGGTCATGTGATTTTGACTTATCAATATTAACCGCTTTGTTAGGCTATCGAATTTGACATGTTGATTATATATTTCTTTTAAAAAGATCAATATTTGTCGAGCTAATCGTACGGAAACTAAATATTATGGCAGGACGGACGACCGGCTGCCTGTAAACTGTAACTGCACAGCAACATTCACTGACATGCGACCCAATGACACGCGTGTCTATTGTGCAACATCGCAGTAAGAGGCTACAGTCCTCGCCACTTGAAATGGAATCACTAAAAATATCGCGATGATTAATTAACGAATATAGCTACAGTAAACTACGGTTATAATAAACACGCTTATAACGAACTGACGGATATAACGAACTTACTTTTTTGGTCCCGACTATTTGATGTGGTTATGCTGTATATATGCTTATAACGAACTACGGTTATAACGAACTAACATAAGCAGTCTCTTTGAGTTCGTTATAACCGTAGTTTACTGTATTCCCACGATAAGGTTATTACTTGGCCTGCTTGCGCGGCGCACATCGCCAACGGCTATTGCTGCAGGCTTCCCATCTTATCTATATACGCCTTTGCTTACAGTAATGACAAAATTGCAAAGTGCGCTTTTCAAGAAATATCCATTTTGCTGGCGATAAAAATCATCATTGAGTTTTGATCACGTGGTTAGTATCCGGGTTACCTTTGGCAGTCAGGTGACCATATTTAGGCAAAAAGTGGCAGCGTACGCACATTACAAGCACGAACTGAAAGGAAAACAACGCGCAGAAGTATTTAAAGCGCCATGCCAAATATACCGCTAGCAGTTACCTGGCCGTATTGTGTGACCAGTTGATCAGAACTCAACGAAAATGTTTATTGCTATCAAAATGGATATTTTTTTTAAAGCGCACTTTCCGATTTTTGTCATTACTGAAAGTAATATTTCTTACCGGTGGAATGGCTTGTTTTCATTTTATAAGTATTAGCACACATGCAGCTATCTTCCTCAGAATAGGTCTTCAGCAACCCATGCTTGCCGTAAAAGGTGACTATGCTTGTCGTAAGCGGCGACTAACGGGATCGGGTGGTCAGGCTCACTGACTTGGTTGATGCATGTCATCGTATGCCAGTTGCGTGGATCGATGTTCATGATGTCCATCACTGGATTGTCAGGTCCAGATTCGATTATATCACGGACTTTGTGTGTATATATATATATATATATATATATATATATATATATATATATATATATATAATTACAGATAGTGCTGAGTGCGGCGTTAAACAACAAACGAACGAACGTTAATTAATCATCGCGATATTTCGTGCTTCTATTTCAAGTGGCGAGAACTGTAACCCTCGTGTCATTCACTTGGCAGTATCTAGGTCACCCTGACCACCATACAGGTGCTATCAGTAGAGTTGTGAACTCGCATATAGACAAATGTCCATACCTGTCTGTATGACTTGTGTAATACAGTGTTGTCAACCCTTTGGTACAGTTTTGTTTTGTTTGGTTGTTGTTTAACTCTGTACTCAGTAAATCCAGCTATATGACAGCTATATGACAATGGTCTGTAAATAATCGAGGCTGGACCAGACAATCACTGGTATATATATATATATATATATATATATATATATATATATATATATATATATATATATATATATATATACTTATCAGATCAGTGGGAATAAACGCAGGTGGAAGATCTTTACTTATTTCGTGAAACCAAAAGGCGTGCTGACAGGCGACGGATCATAATCGGAGCGTATAAAGGTTTCGCGGATCCTGGTACGAATAAGGGATGCAAATCTAAACACCCATTAGATCGGCTGGTTCAGTGAATAAATACTACTAACAAAAACACAGGGGCTTGCAAAAAAAAGCAGCTACAAGACATAAGGTCACACTCAGTGTCAGTATACTATATAAAAAGATATAGTTAAACGTAGCTATTTTTTGCGTTACAAGCCCTTGTGAATAAAACACAATTGGAACAAACTGTTCATAACATCTGATCTCTAAAAGGTAGCTGTTTTCAGATTCCTCATTTACAATACATGTTGGTTACGGCCCTTTTTTAAAGGAGGGCGTATTCCACATCTGCGTCACACGTTTTGACGCGCAGGTATGTTTAGTGCATCGAGGTCTTCTTATGTCACGTGATGACTGATGTTTGTAACAACAAAGATCTAGTGTTGCCTCCGTATGACAAGTAGGGAACACACCCCATGTGTTTCAGCCAGTCGGCATCCCGGGAGTCGGGAAAGGTGAGGTCACACGTCACCATAGGTGAAGCCACGGGAAATAGGGTCAATTTAATGTTGCGTTCAAGATTATTGCACTTATGCAGCGATGTACATTCATGTGTGTGAGCGTGTGTGTGTGTATGGGTTGTAATAATTAGGACCAATGCCGGTTTTAAAACATGGTGCCATCCCAGTGAGATACCACGCCACAGTTTAACATGGAGTGACTGAACTGGGTGTAACGTAGCTTTTAGCAGTTTCCAGTAATATGACGGCGTGTCAGCTTAATGCGAGAGGAAAGCCCGAAGTGATGCAGGTCTCCGACGTTGTTTTTTTTTCCACAATGGTGAAACGCACGAACACGGGTATGATCCTGACAAACCTGGAAACATATATAATCGCACAGAACCCATGATCATTGCGTTTCAGGCGTGCCCAAGGCACGCAACTCTGCATAGCGAATTTCGGCACCTTCGACAATTAGGCCACGTGTGCCCCCATGTTTAATAGGAGTATCCCACTCAGACACGGTATACTGACTCCGAGCCGACCAGTCCTTGTTTAATCTCGTTAATGCCATATGCTAGGCAGGGTAACAACAAGGAGCAACTCTTGGTATCACGCGACCGGGGATCGAACCCCCGACCTTCCAGCCAGGTGTCGTTCTATCCACGAGACTCCCCGGGGCGATGCGTCGGGAGCACACGTGGCAGCGTATTGCTACACAGGGACTTCTGGTACTAATACATGTAAGTTACGGTCTCTAACACTGCACTCGGCAGTGGGGTGGAGGTAGGGCTGGGGTCGATTGGTCAAATGGGGAAACTGCTCGATGAGAATGTACTTTCTATTGCTGTAACACGTATAAAATGTAAAAGAATATAAAAGAATATAAAAGATAGCAGCCTATCCTGGGCGCCGTTGCACAAAACAACCTTAGAGCTATGACTGTCGTAAGTCTATGTTAAGGTATGGGAGTTACGATCACCTTAGCGCTAAGATCGCTTTGTACAACGGCGCCCTGGGACACTTTCCACAAAGCAGTCTTAGCGCTAAGTTGATCGTAACTCCCAATTTTTAACACTGACTTACGACAGTCGTAGCGCTAAGATCGCTTTGTGGAACGGGTCCCAGGTCGTAATAGGCGACCTACTGGGACGGGTTGAGAAACTAGGTGTGGCTTCCATTTTGGTTTATTGCCTGTCATCGCACCCCGACGGCTCGATTAGTTTGCGCCGTCAAAAAACAACAACACTATTAATAACATTTCTCTTTGAAACATTCCGACAGCCGAGGCCTTTTCAACATGTCTATAATATATAATCCTACCTACAATTTTCCCCTATAAATGATCATCCCTTAAACGCATTGCTGTGACCTGTCTGGTAATTTACAACTTGGGAGGCTATAGGTAGGTTCCAAATACTCTGGCGGTGCGTATAACACAAGAGTAATCGAGTCATACACATTTATAGGTAATATGAAACAGCACCTGGCCACAGAAATTTATCCCTAATTGAGTTGTGATGAACACATGACACGTTGTAGCTGTAGCACAGAACACAATTAATACGGCT